CTTTCTTTCACTTGCCATCGCTTGCAGTTATTTTGTTAGTTCACTTGTATTTCTGGCTCCCTCCCTTTAAATGAAAACTCTGAAGGGGCAAACTGAATGTATTTTTTCACTCTTGTATTCCCAGCATCTAGTGTAGTGTTTGGCACTCAGTATGTATTAATTGAATGAGTGACTAAAAAAATTGTTGAATCTCAAATCAAAGTCCATATGTTATCCTTATTGGTGAACCATTAAAAGCATTCCCATTAAGGTCATGAGCAGGATGAGAATGTGTCAGGTATGATTATCTGATTTAAAGGTGTATTTGGTCGTCATCCCCCTTTCTGGCCCAGAGCTCCCAAAACTGTTGGTTTCCTAAAAGTTAAGAGCAGTGGGAGCATCTTTTGCTATATACTATTTGGTCTTTTGTCTTCAGTTCTTAAAATATCTCCAGAGCCATAAAGGTAAAAGGAGTGTCTTGTTATTTATAACAAGCCCCTTGCAACCACTCTTGATTTATGTTAATGAGGTGACTTTTGGAAAGTCCCTAAAGGTGGGGTGCCAGGGGAATTAGCCAGATGATTACACGGTTGGAACTTTCAGCTCCTACCTCTCAGACCTCTGGGGAAACAAGAGCAACTGGAGATTGAGTTGATGATTTATTCAGTCATGCCTACATGATGAAGCCTCCATAAAAACCCTGAGGGATAGGGTTCAGAGACCTTCCAAGCTGGCGAACACGTGGAGGTACTGCAAGAGTGGCATGCCCTGTGTGTGGAACCTCTGTGCCCCTTCGCACGGAACTTGCTCTGTGCACCTGGTTGTTCCTGAGTTACAGTCTTCTATAATAAAAGTCACCTAGTAAGTAAGATTTTTTTTCTTGAGATCTCTGAGCCACTCAAGCAAATTAAACCCAAGGGAGGGGGTCGTTGGAACTTCCAATTTATAGCCAGTTGTTCTGAAGCACAGGTGACAACCTGGACTTGCACTTGGCATCTGAAGGGAGGTGAGTGGGCAGTCTTGTGATATTAAACCCTTAACCTGTAGGATCTGACGCAGTCTTCAGGTAGGTAGCGTCAGAATTAAGTTATAGGACGCCCAGCTGTGTTGCAGAATTGCTCGGTGTGTGGAAACACACACACATCTAGTGTCGAATGAAGTAGTGTTGTAGTGAGGTATCAAGAGTAGACACACCAGTAGTGTTTTCTTTGAATCGGGTATCACCATTATTATTGAATATTATTCTGAAAGCATAACCAATGCAATTAGGCAAGAAAATGAAATCTGAAATTTTAATGTCAGAAGAGGTGAAAATAATAAAGCAATTGATAGGACTACTGTACACTTTGGGGAGAAAATACAGATTAACAGAAGATTTAATGGAAGAATAATTCTGGGTCAACCTTTTGCTATTGCTTTGACTAGAGTGATTTTGCCATGTATAGATTTTTAGGGCAACTCATTAGTGAGATATAATTTCAAACTTTAAAAAAGTTGCAAGAATAGTATATATCCTTTATATATAGTTATATAGAGTTATATATATAGAAAATCTATATATATATATATATATATATATATATAGAGTTACCTGTTTTGCATTTTGCCCCATCTGACTTCTCTATTTTGTAATTATAGCTAGCTATCCATCTATACATAATTCTTTTTGTTGGGAAACATGTAAGAGTGAATTGAAGCCATTTTGTCCCTCAATATCCAAATACTTAAGTGCATATTTATCAAAATTATCAAAATCAGGAAACTAACGTAAATCTAAGACTATTACATAATCCATCCATATTCACATTTTATATATTGTCCCAGAAATGTCCTATATAATACTTTTTCCTCCTAGATCAGCATCTAACCCAGGATCACACATTATGTGCCAAGTCTCTGTCACTTTTATTTATTTATTTATTTATTTATTTATTTATTTATTTATTTATTTATTTATATATTTGAGAAGATAGAGCAAGAGCAAGGAGGAGAGGCAGAGGGAGAGAGAGAAGCAGACTCCCCACTGAGCAGGGAACCTGACATGGGGCTCCATCCCAGGACCCTGGCATCATGACCTGAGCCGAAGGCAGATGCTTAACCAACTTAGCCAACCAGGCGCCCTGCTCACTTTTAATCTGGAAAAGTTCCTCAGCCTTGGATTTCTTGACCTAGATTTTGGAAGAGCATCAGTCAGTTGTTTTGTAAAATGGCCCCATTTTTCATTTATTTTTGATGTTGCCTCGTGATTGAGCTGAGATTATGAATTCTGGGCAGGAATAAGAGGCATATGACGATGTTGGTTTCTTTCTGTTTGTGATGATGGATTTTACCACTTGATTGAGGTGGTGTTCGCCATATTTCTCCTGTAGTGTCACTATTTAAATGTTTCTCATCAAACTTTACTCCCTAGTTTTAGCATCCATTGATGATTTTCTAACCCCATCATTCTCCTGTATTCATTAGTTGCATTCTACTGTTAAGAAATTTTTTCCCTCATTTACTCGTTTATATTCAAATGAACTCATTGATTATTCTATTTAACTCATTTTGTTTAATGGGTTATTATTATAAGGTATGATTCTTAACCCAATTTCTGCTTCTTGTAAAGTAAGTCGTGCTCATACAGAATTTCTCTACAGTCAGTTGGTCTCTTCCAGAGCATTTAGGCAGGCCGTTACCAAACTCTCAAAGTTTTCCCCTCCAAAAAAAAAAAAAAAAAGCTTCCCAGAGTAAAGTTTGCTTGGTTTCCTTATGGGCTTTATCCAGGCCTGTGTTATTAGCTACCTGTTCCCTCTGTTTCGTTTGTGTAACATGACATAACATAGTCTCATTTTTGCAAGTTCATATGTTGTATTAACTCACATACTACACATTAATGAAAGGTACCTTGCTTCATGGCTCTAAAATAGATCATGCAATTTAGTTTAGAAGCTCCTGTGCCCACTGACAGCAAATTTATAAACAAAGTTAGCTGCCTCAGGATTCCAGAATTTTGGATTTGATTATCTTGAGGCTTAACAAAAGAAACCTTGCCTTGGCAAAATATAGACACTGAAAGACTGATGACCAGTCACTTCTTCCTTTCCCCAAATTTAGATAGGAATCAGAATTGTAATTGCAGGAAAGAGCAAGACAAAGGCAGCTCACCCACTGGAAGTAAATCCCTACCAAAAGTCTTCAGATGCTGTGTCTGGGAGTTCATCTATTCAACAAGTATGCCTAGTAAGGGTCTACCATGTGGCAGGTTCTGGGGTAGGCAGTGTGCATGCAGGAACTAAACAGAGCATCTACCCTCAAGAAACTAGCATTCTAGCGGGATAGATGACAAATACATTCAGCTGGTGCTAAATGCTATGAAAAAAAGCAAGGGACATTGATGGGAGAGATGCGCTTTTTTTTTTTAATAATAAAAGTAAGATGGTAATATTTGAATAGAGATGTTAAGCTTCAAAGTCATGGGGCTGGGGCTGGGGATGTGAACAGAGTGAGAGCCCTACAAGCAGAAGGAACAGCAAACACAAGCTGAAAGGTGGCAGAGTGCCTGCTGTGCCTGAGGCTTAGCTGAAGAATCATCCAAAGAGTAGTTGGTGAGGAAGGATAATAGAGAAGGTACCTGGATGCCAGGTAAAAAACCTGTTTCCAGGAGGAGGGAGTAAGGAAGGGAAGTGTTGCTGATGGGTCTAGTAAGGTGAGCATGGAGAATTGTCAACTTGGGAAGACCCTGTTGAGATGTTTCAAAATTCCCACTGGAGTAGGTTCAAGAGAGAATGCAGAGTCCAGATGACTCTTCGGAGGATTATGCTCTAAAAGGACCAGAAAAATGAAATGGGATCTAGAGAGTAGTATGGGATACCAAGGGAGAGATTTTTAAAGATGAGAGGTATTTTAGGTTAGTAGACTGGTGAGAGTAACCAGACAAGAGACACTGGATGCAGAAGACAGCGTCCTTGAGCACAAGAGCAGGGCTGTCCACAGAGACTGGCTGAAAAAGGAACAAGACCAACACCGCATCAGGTTAAGTACAGTGAACAGAGAAGCAAGTAAAACCAAGCGGGCCGCTAGCACGTCAGTTTCCTTTATCTGCTCGTTTTGATTTATCTCCTCGCTTCTGGCATCTGTAGATTTTACATTTCTTTGACTTCATGTGTTTTTAAGTGCTTGTTTTTTATATGCATTTCTCTGCTTTAGAGTGTGGGGGTGGTGCTGCTGTCCTTGAGTTCAGTCCAGTGTGCTATGCTGTTGAAAGAGAAAAATTAAAAATAGATCTTTTGAAAGAGTTTGAGAGGCTTTGATGTTATGTTAGAGGGGGAAAAACTGCGTTTTTAATATAATTAAAAGTATCAGTATACACAGTGTATGTTAATGGTTAACTCTTAATGGTTAACTCCAGTTAAATTAAAAAGTAGGACTCATCTGGGTAGGTAAGCATAGTTTAAAATATCTATGGAGATGCTAGTCTCTAAAGCTTTGTTAACTTCTATTTTTTCAAAATAAAAATATACTTTTCCTGACTTTAAAAGAAATATTTGTTGTAAAATATCCGAACAGTAATGTATAAAGTATAAAAATTTTTCTCCCACACTTCCCCAACCTTATTCCACCTTTCAGAGAGAACCACAATACCTTGTAATACTACTTTTCCAGGCTCTTCTGTATATATTTGATCACTGTTTGCTTCCAGCTTAGCTGATTTATTTTCAACAGAAAACTAAGTAAATAAACTGCCTGTTGGCAAAACTGATTTCTAAATCTAATCAAATTTTTAGGTATTTTAGACTCCAGGGCTTTATAAATGCATATAATTTAAATTATGCAGATTACAACAGCCTGTGTCTGAGTTCTTGGGCTTTTTCAGGATTAAAAAGTTTAATACTGAAATATGCAATGCCAGTCTTAGCTTTTCACTTGTGGTTTTTTTTTTTTTATCACTAAGCAGTAAGTACAATGCAGTTTTAAAGGTTGTTTGACTTATTTGGTGAAATATGGATTTCTGCTTAGCACATTTTTGGGTACTTTTATAGGAGAATGAAGTACTAAGAGAGAGGCATGAAGCTGTGGATCACAGCTCCCAGAATGTGGAAAATGAGCAAAGAGTTTCAGCCCAAGAAAAATCACTACCACAGAAGAATGAGGATGAAAGTAAAATAGCAGATAAACCTGACTGGGAGGCAGAAAAGACCACTGAACCTAGAAATGAGGTAAGCATTATCAGAGTAGCTCAGCCTTACCATTTTGGCTGTAGATTGTTTTTAGATTTTATTAGAAAGAGTACACAGGAGTGGTGGGGAGGGGCAGGGGGAGAGGGACGTGCAGACTCCGGTGAGCAGGGAGTTCAATGACGATGACCTTGAGGGGCTAGATCCCAGGATCATGACCTGAGCCTAACGCAGATGCTTAACTGACTGAGCCACCCACGTGCCCCTGTAAGTTAAACTTTATGGCTTTGACAATATGTGTTGGTAATGAATCTTCCATTAAGTGCCCTACTATAAGCAAATCAGATATATGAAAATACGTATTTTTTTATAGTTGTGGAAGTGGTTGATTTACAAAGGAATCCGCCCATAGACTTAGTTATCTCTGGTTAAACTCAAGATTGTGTGTGTGGGGGAGGGTGTATTTATACACACAACCCCCCTCCAGGAAGTTGCTAGCAGGTTTTGTTGTGTTTGCCATGGCAAGGGTTAAAGGGGTGACTGGCATGGTAAACCCAGGAATCCTCAACCAGCCCTCTGCAGAGGCACCCAAGCTGGCTAGGTCTGGGAGAGTGAGGCAGAATAACTTGAAGGCAGATCAGCCCTCAAAACCAGCTAGGTCTTGGGCTCAAACCCTCACTCAGTCTCCTGAGAGGTAGGCCATTCTGAATTCAGGAGCCCACTTTGTACTTCTGGCCAGATCCAGAGAGACAGCCCCCTTGGCTACTCTAACCATATCCTTTGGCTATAAGAAGATGCATTATTATAGAAAGATGAATTCCAGAGGCCAGGCTGAGATGGATTCTTCCTGCAGCCTGTACTTTCCCTTTCTTCTACTCTGGTTTTTACTCAGCCCTGAGGACATGCCTGTCCACTCTGAAGACAGGCCTGGAGGTTCCACAGACCCTTAACCCACTTGGCACTTCCAAAGGTCCCCCCTTGCAGGTCTTGCCCTGATGGCTCTCTCAGCCAGTGACTTGCCCCAGACGGGGAACCATGTGTTTATATTTAACACAAAGTTTTAGTAAAAATTCTAACAATCTGACTTAAAAAAAAAGAGAAAGACTGACCATTTCTTGGCAATCTAAATTACCATTAACGGGGCACCTGGGTGGCTCAGTTGGTTAAGCATCTACCTTCAGCTCAGGTCATGATCCCAGGGTCCTGGGATCAGGTCCCACATGGAGCTCCTTGCTCAGCGGGGAGCCTGCTTCTCTCCCTCTGCTTGCCACTCCCCCTGCTTGTGCTGTGTCTAATAAATAAAATCGTAAAAAAAAAAAACCACTTTACGTATGGAATGGCTCGTGGATGAACTGAAAGAATGGCTTAGTTGTCCATTTTTGTGCAAGAGCTAATATCTCAAAAAAATTCTTTATAATTTAAGTGTAGTAGACAGAAGAACTCTGTCACATGGACTTCAGATGTTAAGGCCCTCAACTAGAAAGCATGTAACACATCTGATGAGATTCTGAAAAGAAGTAAGGGATTTTCATTGCTTAAGAGGTGAGGGCATGTTTAAGGGAAACATCAAAGAATAAGGAAAACTCAAGGACCAATAGCAACATGAAGCCATTATCCCCCATCAGGGCAGAAGGGAATCTGGGGAAAAAAGTGCTCAGTCACATCTGTCCCTCCCATCTCAGATCTGTGTCTCCTGTGGACCCAGCCAGGGGCCTGGCTCAGTAGGAGTTAGCTCCTCAGTTTGCCATCTCCAGGGGCACTGAAGAAGGGAACAAAGGTTTAATGAAACGTATCTGACTAGCCTAAAGGATCAAGTCCATAACTCAAAGCAGAATGGGCTTCATACCCTTACCTCTATTCTAAATATTAAGGCTTTCCTTTCTGCAAATAGTTTTATTATTTTGGGATCATTAATGGACGTAGAACACTTTTGAAATTTAAGAAATTAAAAATCATTTTGAATTGTCATGTTAGCAAATAAGTCTCCAGCCCACTAAGAATGTATATACGATTTGCTAGTAAATGAAAAAATCTTATCCAACCACTTCAGCTTAGATGGTCCTATAGCATCCACAGACACAGAAAGCCTCGTATTTGTTGTACTATGGGCCTTAAAAACATGGTATTTGGTGGAAAGGGAAACCAAATATACATTTAAAACAAGTCTAACTGGTCTGAATCCTCAAAAAAGAAAACCCTTAAGTACAAAGCTAGGGGAGGGGAGTCAGGAATGTGAGCTTCCTAAAATGTAAAGATAAAACCCCTATGACAGACCAAAACCGAAAATCCTGGGTAAAAATATTTTTTAAGTGCATAGAACTCAAAAGCAAGAAAGGGAACTCTGTAGATATTAGAAGCAAAGAGGCTACTCCAGAATATTTTTTTTAAAGATTTCATTCATTTATTTGACACAGAAGAGCGACAGTGACAGACGGAATGGAACCCAAGCAAGTAGAGTGGGAGAGGTTGAGAAGCAGGCTTCCCGCCGAGCAGAGAGCCCGATGCACGGCTCGTCTCAAGACCCAGGGTCTTGGGATCATGACCTGAGCCAAAGGCAGACACTTAATGACTGAGCCACCCAGGCGCCCCTCAAATCCAGAATTTAAAAGATAATCAGACACCAAAACTGAAGAAGCCCCAATGAAAAATTAGATATAGATGTCATGACAGAGACTGGGGTTGAATAGATGAGGAATGAGGTCTCAAGCCTATACCTGGGGGTACCTAAATTCCCCACTTAAAGCTCAGAATTTATAAAGACTCTTCAGGAGATGGGACTAGGACAATCCTAGCCACCACCTAGGAGACAAGAGCAAGGAAGCAGTCTATCCATCCTTAGGGATCAGAACCCCAAATGAGCCCAACGTTTTAGAGTCTGAATACACACTACCATTACTATCAGGAATCCTGAGCCAAAAAAGCAAGGTCTACAAAATGATACAAAAACTGGTTGGTCCTTGCAGAGAAAAACAAAATTGTTTTTACAGTTAGCGGGTAACCCTTGGTATGTAGGAGTCCTACAGAAACAATTACCAACAAAGATGAGCTCACCCTTAATATAAAAGAAAAATTAAGACAGAATGAGAAAATCTAAGTTATTTCTAATAGGAGTCCCAGAAAAGACTAGAAAGTATGAAGGTGAAGTAGTCTTCAGTGTTTATGGCAAAGTATTTTGAAAATTAAAGTGATTTTAGGACTCAGATTAAAGGAGTACAGAGTCCTAAGCAGAATAAATAAAAACAAATTAAGTCCAATACATCAAAGTGAAATAGGACAACAAAGACTACAAAGAAAAAAAAACTTTAAAATTACTGGGGAAAAAATTGGCTATAAAATGACAGACTGACATCAGTAGCAATACATGCCTTAGTGCAAAGCACAAAGGGAAAACATTAAACTTGATCATTTTACCAAATCACTGTTTTAAGCATGAAAGCAAAATAACTCCCAGGTTATAAAAACTGAGTTTACCACTGGTGGAGCCTCTCTAAAAAGAGCTGTCAAAGGAGTTATTTCAATAAGAAACAAACCTGAAGGCTGGGATGAAGCAATGAGTGAAACTGGCAAAACATTTTGGTAAATCTATGTATTTGACATTAACCATGGTAAAAATAAGGTGGAACGAAGAATACTAGCCAAAAATATGAAAGATGGTTAGGGCAAGAACGGGGGAGGGGAGGAAGATACTGAAAGAGGAACGTAGAAATTCCAAAATAGGGATAAAAAAATCCAGAACGGAGACACGACCTGGTTATCCTTTCAAGATTAAGCCTAAAGGCCCAAGCAACCTCCTCTGCCTTTTAACTTAATGGTGCACCTTACATTTTTTTCTAGAGATCTCTAAATGGGACAGAAACAGCTTTCTCTCTGGAAGACTTATTTCAGATGCTTCCATCACAGCCTGAAAATTCACTGGAGGTAATTGGAACCTTGGCTTTTACCTTGTAGGAAAATCTGCACTGATCGTGAATACATTTAACCTCTTTAATGGGATGACACAGTTTATGACAGAGTAATACTTCTGTTAACAGTACTGCATTATGTAAGTGCAGATTTAGGATTTTTATACAACTACTTCAATTTTAGAGAATTAACCAAATATGTATACTGTTCCTCCTCCATGATCACAAGGATATAGTTAAATTTAGGATTCACTGAATCAGAACGACAGTAAATAAGGGCACCTGGGTAGCTCAGTCGGCTAAGCCTCTGCCTTTGGCTCGGGTCACGCTCCCAGGATCCTGGGATTGAGCCCTGCATCAGGCTCCCTGAGCCTGCTTCTACCTCTCCTCCTGTCCCTCCTCCCCTGCTCATGCTGTTGATAAATAAAGCAGTAAACATTTGACAAACTAAGGCATAGATTATTTTTGATACCATTTAGGTCTTGATCATACTCTACTATGCTGGTCCGATTAAAAAAAAAAAAAAAACCCAAAGACCCACCCACCTTGCCCAGAGACTACTTCAGTGTGGATTCAACGCTAACAGCTAGGTTGTTTACATCTATAAAGCAGCGAATTACAGTTAAGATTAGAATAGCAAGACCAACTTTTATATTAACTGAATTAAACTTTCTAAATTTCCAATATATACAAAAAAAAATCTTTCCCCAAATACGGCATCATTCAGATTTGGGCTCACATTGCATATTGTATTTGTCTAGATTTAGTAAAAGTGATTGTGATTCATAGGTAACTGTATAGAAGAATTGACAAAAGAGGAAAGAGTGCTCTATTAAGTTACTAGAACTGCTGCTGAAATAAGGTTGTGTATTTAAAGTGCTTTCCCACCCTCCCCCCTTTTCAGGGCATCTCCCTTGGAAATACTTTTCTGGGAAGTATCAATGATGGCATGAATTCTTCAACACACAGTGTAAACTTTAGCCAAGCTATAAGTCACGATGTGAATCTCCATGAGGCCATGTTGCTGTGTCCTGACAATACATTTAGAAGAGAACCAGTAGCAAGGACTTCACAACCACAAGAATCATTTCTGCAGTTAAATTCTCATACTACCACTCCTGAACAGACCCTTCCTGGAACTAATCTGACAGGATTTCTTCCCGTTGTTGGCAGTCAGATGAGGAATCTAACAAGTCAAGATCTTCTGCATGACCTCGATATAAACATATTTGATGACATAAATTTAATGTCTTTGGCCACAGAAGGTTTTGATCCAATGGAAGTGTCTCACCTTTTTGAAGAACCAGATTCAGATTCTGGGCTTTCCTTAAATTCAAGCCACAATAGGACCTCTGTCACCAAGTCTAATTCCTCTCAGTCTGTGTGTGAAGGCGCTGCAGGTTGTAGTAGTGACCTTGAATCTCTTTCCCACCATGACTTGGAAGGAGCTGTAGGAGGGTACTACCCAGAACCCAGTAAGCTTTGTCACATGGACCATAGGAGTGATTCTGGTTTTTGTGGGGACCTTGCATTTCAACACATTTATCATAACCACACTTACCACCTACAGCCAAGTGTCCTAGATTCCACTTCTAGATCTTTTTCATGGCATGGGAAGTCACAGAAAGTGAGTAAGTACCTCAATGACACAGACAGAAACTTAAGCCGTGATGAGCGGCGTGCTAAGGCTCTGCATATCCCTTTTTCTGTAGATGAAATTGTCCGTATGCCCGTTGATTCTTTCAACAACATGCTAAGCAGGCACTACCTGACAGATTTACAAGTGTCACTCATCCGTGATATCAGAAGAAGAGGGAAAAATAAAGTTGCTGCTCAGAACTGTCGAAAACGCAAACTGGACATAATTCTGAATCTTGAAGACGATTTATGTAACTTGCAAGCCAAGAAAGAAATCCTTAGGAGAGAAAGAGCCCAGTATAACAAAGCTATTAACACAATGAAACAAAAACTGCATGACCTTTATCATGACATTTTTAGTAGGTTAAGAGATGATGATGGTAGGCCAGTCAATCCAAACCAGTATGTTCTTCAGTGCAGCCAAGATGGAAGTGTTTTGATTGTACCTAAGGAACTGGCGACCTCAGGCCACAAAAAAGAAAACCGTAAGGGAAAAAGAAAGTGAGGAAATTAAAGACAGATTCCATTAAGACGTATAAGGTTATCAAACGGGTACATAGCCACAAACCACCGAAACTGCTTCAAAGTTTGGCTCAAGTATCTTTTACTACTGCTACTTGAATCACTCAGGGCTACGTTTTGAAGCTTTTGGACAAATTTGTGGTTAGTTTTGGGGAAGCCACAACTTTTCATGAAGCCTGACTGCATTATACGCAGGACTCCTGACAGTCCAGTCACTTGGTTGCCACTTTTTTGTTTTTTTTTGGTGACTTGAAATGCAATGTAATTTAGCTTTTAGCTTTAAGTATTTTAGCACTGTAGTTACCACTGAATATATGGAGTCTTAGTATGAATACTTAATTTACAACTTTATGTGGAAACAAATTTTGTATTTGAATTTATAAAAATTTCTTATATAGAAATTCTAACCATATTTATCTTGGGTATTTGTTCTCCACAAAACCCACATTCAGGTATACAGGTGATATACGTAGCCAACAGGGCAGCATAGTGTGGCTTTCAGTATTTGCACAAAAATTGGCTTAAGTCCAATCAGTCACCCCTTGGACTTACCCAACTTCTAAACCAAGGTGCCAAGGAACATTGGGGCTTCAAAACATGTCTAAGGACAAAGACCTTTACACAGGTTTATGCCTCTTTTAAGTACACACAGCTACTTGCATATAGAGAAATAGACCTACCTAGCAAGTTCAACCAGCCTGTAGAAATGTTTGCACATCTATAACATGGATCTCTCCCCCAAAAGGCCTCAACATAGTAATGTGAAAACGTTACAAGCAACACAAGCCAACAGTAGGGGAAAGGAGAAGTCAGTTGAGTATGGGCTTTACAACCAAATAAAACCTGGAATAATTGGAACCGCATGAAAGACTCTTAAATGCTTAAAAAAGGCAAAAACAGAGTAAGTGGATTTGAAAATGAACTAAATGGTCTTAGAAATAGTGGCATTTGAAATGAAAGCTCAATGACCTTATTTCAACAGCAACCTGAAGATAATTTTCTGAATATGTTCAAGGTTTGGCAACATTAAAATGAGTCGATGTTGTCATAATGGTCTACCAAAGGATATCACAAGAGTACCACCTTGGTTTAGAGAAATGCAGTGGCTTCAGAGTCTAGATTTTTATTAACGCTTTTAAACAAGTTATTCTAGTCAGTTTTGTAGTGCCCAGAAATTACTTCAAATCTACAACTTAAACTTCCACAGTATTACCTTACCTACAAGTAGCCTTATCCACCCAATTGTTAACACTTATGACGGTGCATTATCCTCAAATCCCTGAAAATATCAAGCACCACAACGGAACTATACAGGAAAGGATCAAACATGGATAAATAGGGACCTAAGAACAGGGACTTAAAATTTTGACATTCACAGTAACCGAAGCTTAAGATAGTTTAGTTTTAATCTGGAAGGTATTTGGTGCATTGTGACCAAAGGTAAATGCACCTAACTTCCAAAGGAAAGGAAAACCTGGCCTCGAAGCATGTAAACTTCAGCTGCTTACTCTCATACCAGTTTCAGCAGTGGAAAGCCCACTGCCAAGATTTTAGTCTAAGTCCCCTTCCTGATTAGGAATGTAATGGACACCTGAAGGATTACTAAGATGTTCTACAAGCTAGTGGTCTAAAACGTTTTCCTGGAGTTCAGAAAGGTTACAGAAAAGGAGAAATCTGATCTATTCAGCTTCAGATCATAGAAACTGACCATGTTCAGAATCTCTAAAAGTTCTCACTGAAGCTATATCCACTTTGCTTGGTAGAACCTGAACCAAATTGCTCACTCAGCTAAGACATGGTTATACAGTTAAAGACTCTTGTACTGAGAAGCTATTATCAGAATAAGGTTTCAAGGAAGGGGCATGTGTCCTCATACCCCCCAGTGTGTTCCTAAGTATTTGGTATAGGGTTTACAAATGCAAATTTCAAGGGGATCAGTAAGACTTAAGACAGCTGAGATCAGTAATGCTTACTCTTAGGCAACTAATTTAACCCTTAGCTGCTTTTACATTTTCTGGTGGGTACCCCTTTTCCCTCCTTAATCTGCAGTGGATAGGCCCAAATTTACATCCCAGTTTGAATTGGTCCCAACAGGAAACTAGTCTTACCTTCTTTACCTATGGAAAATAATTGTTAAATCTGGTTGGTCAGCCAGATTCTCAGCATCTCATTTGTCCTTTTCCGAATAAAGCCTTCATATTTCTCACGTAACCATCAACAGGTATCCATGTTGAACCACCTTACAGGTGAAATTAGACTTTCAAGTGTATATGATTTCCATGCAACATGTACTAAATAATGTCTGGATGTCTGGATCCCTCTAAAGGCTGGTTTCAGTTCAGCAAGGACCTTTGGAATATAGCAGTCAGAAAACCCATCTGCACACAGTCAAGCCTCAGAACAAAATGTCAGGCTACATAGGGCATGTATCAGGACTTAAAACCTTTTTATAGTTGGGGTGAGTCTAGTCACCAAAAAGCCTCTTACATCTATGTGATCGGCGCAGTAGTAAACAGTGGTTATTAAAACTGAGTGGGGTCTATCAACCACCCAGTCATTCCAAAGCTCAAAAGATCAGATTTACACAAAATTTTGCCAAGAATGTATCTGTTTTTAGTATATTGGAATGTTTTCTACCTTTTTGGAAAGGAACCCACACTTGTGAACTAGTGAATGTCATTACTGAGAAACAGGATTCAAGTTTCCTTAAATTAACTCAGTAAACAGTACAAAGTTATAATCCCTTTCAGACCTTAGCTTGTATCCATACACCATTTAAAAACTTAAACGCGACAGAACCAGTTTCAGGTACTTCCAAGTAAATATTAACACTCTAATGTGGAAGTCAGCCCTCAATATGGCTCCCAATGATGCTAGGTTCTCAGTAATCCTAGAAGTAACCCCCTTCCATTCACATGTTGTGACCATTATAATACAAGGTACTACACTTCCAAATGTTGATTCTATTGGGTTTTGATTGCTCCAAAAGCTCAGTATAGGGAAAGGGAATAGCCAGCCCCAACTTGCCAACCCTGTCAGCATGCCCTAGTGAAGTTTTTCCTAACTGCAACCTTGAGCTTCAGCAAAAATCACACAGCTAAGTTTTCAAGATGTTGACCTGCAAATACTATGTAAAGTAACAAATTCATTGTTGCTCCAAATTTCTAAGTATTGAGGTTAAAGGTTAAGCCTGATGTAGTGATACAATGCAACATATGCGAAAAAGTTATTTCCTTCATTTAGAAAACTTATAACCTACCTTAAATCTGAAGTTTTAATAGAAATTAACAGCTCAATATACAACATACACACAAGGGAAATGCCTATGTTGATTATTCAACATTACCTTAAGTTGCAATAAGCCAGTTCATTTCAGCCTATTGTGTATTTAATTTTCTTAAAATTTGTCCTGATTAAGGGTTGCGTACTTCAGGGTGTGTTGTCATACATCAACTTAATTTACCTCCTTTGAGTTTGAGTTCTTGGTAGAGCCGCATTTTTTAAAACCTTCAAATATTTACCTTATTTTTAAGTACTCTTAAGTTTACAGATGGACGTATCTAAGTAACAGCTTAGCTCATCTTCTGTTAACCATCAGTTTGACTTACCTGTGAGATACCTCATTATCGAAACAAAAAATTAAATCAACTTTACTATGTATCTTTCCTGTTATCTTTCGTTGTTTCAGGTAAATATATACAAGAAAGCCACTGCTTGTTAAATTCTCTCCACCATATTTAAACCTTTAAAAAGACAACCACTGAAACTCAGAAGGCATATAAAGGTAATTGACATTTGAGAAGCTACCACGACAGACTGTGCTTTGCACTTAATTGGGACCACTGTTTAAAATACTTGCAACAACTCCACCAGCAATGTTAAACATACAAGGTAAAGCCAGAAAACTAGAGCAGTATTCAAACGCTGAATGTACAGTATATAAAGAATGGCATTTTATTAGGGACAGCCAATAATGTCCACAATGCTTTTCTTGACTATCAATAAGAAAATGGCAATATGCATAGCTTTGTGAAACTGCTTTAAAAATCTAGGGGATGGCAATCTTTTAGACAACTGAATGTTTATAGAACAAGATTCACACATTTTATGTGTAAACATTACACCAAATATTTGAATACAAAAGTGTTTATTTTATAAACTTTATATTTAAAATAGAATTTTTATCTGTCTACTCACAAAACCTAGTTTAAAACATGATACATTTCTCTCTCTAGCTTACTTGATGTTACTCTTTTACAAACAATACTCATTTTGTAATTGTTTTATATTAAGAACCTGTACTAAATGAAGTTTGTATTTTATCAGAAAACATTTCCCTTTAAACTTAAAGTGCTTTTTTAAATGAAGGCACCAACAAGAACTACTTTCAGATGGTACAGAATTTCTTATTTCTTGAAGACTCTGTGGTTGACCACTTCTTCATTAGTTACCTGCAGCAAGACACCTTCCTGCCAAAGGAAAAAAAAAGTATCTGAAGAAGTTTATCATGTTTGTCCAAAGAACCTAAATAACTTCAGTGGTGGTCTTAGGATCAAAGAAGACTCACTGGTGCATACAGTAGAATATGCCCTGATTATCACATTCCTGAAAAGGCAATAAAGCCAGGCAAATCAAACTGATGGCAAATCAAACTGATGACATTTAGAATTTCAGCAGCCAACCTACATCTCTCCTATAAGGTAGGGGGTTGGGAAAGAATTACCACATTTAAACCCAAATATTTAGTACTGGATACATACAGGATTTATAATGTAGACACTTTATTTGTAAGTATAAACTATCATCTGGAAATAGTTTCAACCATTTTACCCTACCTTCTCCTGAGCCTGATCCTGATAAGCATGTAAAGCTAGAACAACCATATAACAGAAGAACAAAATGTCTTTATTTTTAATAAAAACCACTAGTTCACTCAAAATGCTTGATCCAAGAAACGTGAATACAGAAGGGTGTAATGATGGGTAATTTCATGATTTATTCAACTTGCAGCCTAACTTTTACCTACCATTTTACTACCAACACCACTGAAGGAACCAAGAAAAGCTTTATTAATGATCACTTGGCTTGCGCCTCAGCTGTTGAAATGAAGCACTTTACAGTCTTTGTGGCAGCAGAATATACTTGTCCATGGTTCATATCAATGCTAAAATTCCAGCAGGGAAAAAAATGATATGTTAAGCACCTGAATCTTCATAGAGGGGGAGGGGGGTGGGAAGGAAGGAAAAAAAAGAGGGGGAAAAACAACCAAAATAATTTAAGTAAATGACAGATTGGAAAACAGGGTTTATAAGATTATTCTGAGTTTATAAATTGTTAAACTCAAATTTATACTATGTTAAGCTACGTAAGAACCGCTATACTGAAAGGCCATTGAAGAGTAGTATTAGTTTATCTTTTGGGGAGGAAAATTAAGAAAGGAAAAGTAAATAAGATCTTACCTAAAGAAGTTTAACTGAAGCTTAGAACTATTTTGCTCTACACCCTCAGCTTTCGTTGTCATCCTTATAAACTACTGTAGTTAAAGCTTTGCAGAAACAGCACAGTTTTTTAAGACTGGCTGAACTTAGTAGCCGTCAAGAGTTCTCTTGTACTAGACCTGTATCCCTGAAGAGTACCTCGCTGGGGTTATTTCCTTTCCTTGCATTGAAGAAGCAGCATCTAAAAGATCTAAAAAGGTGTTTCTCTTTGCAGAGATATCCCTTAAGTTATCTAGATAATTTAATCCTGATGAATTGCAGACAACACACTTACATCTGACCAGCATTTATCTTACACAAATATAACAACAGCTTTGCAATGGACCTTAATTATACTACCCACTCCTTAACTTATTTAAAAT